GGAAGGCTGAGGTGGAAGGATCACCAGAGCCCAGCAGGTGGAGGCTGTGGTGGCCGGGAGTGGCCACTGCAATCCAGTCTGGGCGACAGAGTGAGACTCCAACTCAAAAAAAGAAAAAGAAAAAGTAAATATTCCATGTAAAAACAAGGCAGCCCACTGACCTCCATCTGCATCCTCCTTCCTCTGGGCTAAGGCTAATCCACTGGCTGAGGTACCACCCCCGACCCCACTCTGTCCCCCCCAGTCAGTCAAACCTCCAGTACAGTCTGACAACTTCCATAGCTTCAATATCTGACTCCTTTCTCCTATGTGGTTCCTGCTACCTGAAAGTGCTCTATGTAAGGTCACCAATGACTTCTGTGATGTCATCATCAATGGGCACTACCCATAACTTATCCTTGTTGATGGCAGCACTTGGTACCACTGGCCACTTCCTCATGTGTGAAACATTCTCTTCCCTGGGCCTTGATAAATCACGTCAGATCCCACCTGCTAGTTTTTCTTTTCCTCCCAACTCCCTGCTGAGTTCCTCCTCTATTTGGTCATTAAATATTCCCCTAGGATAGATCTAACTTTCCTCTCTTGCTGGGACAACTGAAATACCACTTGTCTCTTTGGGCCCACTCTTGTTCTCTTTCACTCAATCAACTCTGCTGCGATGATCTTGTCAAAGGCAAATTAGAACGGGACACTGCTCCACCACTGGTTTTGTGATGGTAACTGAGCTCCTCCTCTGGCCCTTGTCCCCAGTTGCCTCTCAAACTTCCTTTCTTGCTCTAGACCCTCTCATTTTCTATGTTCTAGCCATATCTGTATTCTTTCAACCTCTGTATTGAAGATTCAACCATGACCAGGTTTCCCAGTTTTTCACCCATAATTCCTCCTTCACAGGGCTGTCTTCAGGACTGAATCAATCAAGTTCAGGACTGAATGAATCAGAACAGTGCTGGCACACAGTATGTACCTGACCACCACCTAGTTTCTATACAGCCCCCAGAGAATCGTTTTAAAAATTAAGCTGGATCACCTCATGGTTCTGCTCAGCATGACTAATAGTTTCTCCTCTTAAATTCAGAAATCCTCACTATAGCAATGATCAGGCATCCTACTATTTCTTTGTACGAATCTTCCACACGCCCCACTTACTGGAGTCAAGTGACACTGACCTCACACAGGTCAAGTACACTCCTTTTTCATTTGTTGTTCCCTCTGCTTGGAAAAAATCTTGTCCAGTTATGTGGCTTACTCTCTCATTTCCTTCAGGTCCTACTCAAGTGTCATCAGAGTGGCCACCTTTACCCCCAAAACCAGGATTTTGTAACCTCGGTGCTATAGACATTAGGGGCCAGATCATTTTTGGGGAGTGAGGACTGTCCTGTGTACTGAGGAGGTTTAGCAGCATCCCTGGGCTCCCCCGCTAGATTTTCATAGCACCCTATCCCTTATCTGTGACAACCAAAAGTGTCTCAAGACATGACAAATGTCCCTGGTGGTGGAGTGGGGGAGGTAGGAAACAAGGAACATGCCAACAAACCACAATTCCAATTTTTTTTTTAAAAGCATAAAACTATAATATAGCCTTCTCTAGTCTCCCTTTTTATATCTCAATATATTTTTAAGATATTTCTCACAACCTGATATACTTACACACATGTACATACATATATACTTACACATTCACAGGTTTTCCCCTCCATCAAACAGGATAATATCCCACAAATTTTCTGTGACTAGATTTTTTGCAAATACTATATTACAAATAGCTTTGCATGCCAGAACAGACTTATGTACTTTTCTGAATGGCTACAGTACTCTTTAGTGTGAATATGTATACTCAAGTGTATCTCACTATTGTATTTACTGGTGAACATTTAGGTTCTTTTTCTACAAATTTTTTTTGAGTCAAGGTTTCAATCTGTTGCCTAGACTTGAGGGCAATGGCAAAATCATGGCTCTCTGCACTCCTAGGCTGAAGTGATCCACTTTCTTCAGCCTCCTGAGTAGCTGGGATAGCAGGTGTGTGCCACTAGGCCTGGCTAATTTAAAAAAATTTTTTTTGTAGAGACAAGGTCTTACTATATTGCTCTGGTTGGTCTTGAGCTCCTGGGTTCAAGTGATACTCCTACCTCAGCCTCCCAAAGTGCTGGGATTAGAGTAGAGGTATAAGCCACTGCGCCAGGCCTATTTTTATTTATTTTTATATTTTTCAATTTTTCACTATTACAAACAATGCTGCAACAGACATTCTAGTATATAAGGTAAGCATTATTCCTACAAGGGGAACTGCTGGGACAAAGAGACCTGTTTGCAATCTGGACAGATCCAGACTCTTGCACTAGCATGTAAGCGAGTTTCTGCTATTAGCAACTTCCTTGAGCAATGCCAGGTTTCATTCATCTGGGCATCTTCAGAGCCCAACAGATGCAAGAAGGAAGGGAGGCCACTTAGCCCATGGAGGTACCTTTCTCTTTCCCATTCTTCCCACTACAGTCAAGAGCTTGTGAGCAAAAAGCTTACCTATGCTCCATCACTTTGTTTCTGGGAACTTCTTTCCAAAATTGAGTCAATTCTGCTTGGCCTGTGCCAGATGACTGTTCCATTTCTGCAGCCATTATCAGAAAACGGTCTTGGGCAGAGACTGTTAAACCTGCATTACAAAAGGGTAATGTAACATATAAACAGGCACCTTTACAAGAGGCGGGATATGTATGTGGTTTAAGGCATTATTCTGGAACACAACATTAGGGAAAAAGCATACAATGGAAATAGTTTCAAAAAACCAAAAAGTTCTAAAAGTGAGAAATTTTTTTGTTCCAATTGATATCAATTTAAACAATCTTATTCAGTAACAATAACTACATTTTAATGCAGGAAAGAACTTTAGAGATTCCTTTGACCATCTCATTTCACTTATGAGAAAAGAGATGTCTAGAGTGAGGTGAAGTAACTTGCTGTTTTTCTGCTAATTTCTAGATTCTAGCCTGACATCTCTCCTAACTCAGAGCCCAGACCCAGGTCTCCTGCTCCCTACCATACCAGCTGTGACAATATGACAACTCACCCCCATGGGGAGACACAACTATATCGACTGATGCACCCGGGTCACAGCTACTGTTGCTTGGCTTGACTCTGTATTTTTCTGGAGCAGTTGTTCTCACCTGTTCATAAAAATAGTAGTCATATAACAATCTTTATGCTTTTTTTTCCGGGGATATAGTTAAGAATGACTTTTTAAAAAAATCAACAGTTAATCAATGAACAAAGAGTTTACAAAGTAATGCTGGTGGTTATGCATAGAATGCATTTTTCCCTACTAACAAGCAAAAAGCACCTTGACCTATCTAAAAAGATAGAGATTATCTATTGGTTTTATATTTTTGTATTTCACTGTTACGAATTTAATTATTATACAGTGAAGAGTGATTTTTCTTGGAATTTTATTAAACTCTGAGATTGATTTAGACATTAGCCTGTTATTGCACATTAATGACTGAGATACAGACGTTGAGATATTAGCCTTCTTCTTAAGTAAAAAAAGTAATCTGTTGGATATTTATCCTGTCTGCTAGTTGCCTGATTTTTTTTTTTTTTTTTTTTTTTTTGAGTCAAAGTCTCACCCCGTTGCGCAGGCTGGAGTGCAGTGGCACGATCATGACTACTGCAGCCTCGACCTGCTGGACTCAAGACAATCCTTTTGCCTCAGCCTTCAAGTAGCTGGGACTACAGGAGCGTGCCACCATGCCCAGCTAATTTGTTAATTTATTGTAGAGACTAGGTCTCTCCGTGTTGCCCAGGCTGGTCTCGAGCTCCTGGACTCAGGCAATCCTTTCGCCTCGGCCTCCCAAAGTGCTGGGATTACAGGTGTGAGCCACCCACTACACCTGGCCGAGGTGCCTGAATTTAATGATGCAAATTCACAAAAATAGAATGCACTTTAGATTACATTGTTATAAGTGTTCAGAAATTAAATTAAAAAACAGTAGATAATCAAAGCATATCAGGAACACCCTAGCAATTACGTCTCAATTAAACAGAAGATTTAAAAAAGAATACCTACAATATGAGGTGGTGGTGAACTCAGTCTTGTTATACCTAATGCTCAGACTCAGGTTAGTATCCAATATAAACTACACTCCAGAATATATCACACTTGGGGGAAAAATGCACTATCAATTTTATGTTTTTATATTTTACTGTTATTATGAATTAAATTATTTATATAATGAAGAGTAATTTTTCTTGGGTTTTTATTAAACTCTGGAATTAATTTAGACATTAGCCTAGTTACATTAAAGACAGAGATACAGATCTCTGGAAAAACTTTAAATAAATTATGCCTCTTGGATAGAACTAGAAAGAGTATAATATGCCTAAAAATATCATAAACAAAGCTAGGCTTCTTGGTTAGAAATAGAAAGTAGTATAATATGCCTAAAAATATCACAAACAAAAACACTATACAAGTTCAAAATTATCAATCTTTCAATTTGAATATGTCTAAAATCACTTCACATGTCAAATTCTCACACATAATTTATTATATCTTTAAGATATTTACCTTAAATGCCACTATATTTTTAGTTACATTTGTCAGCACTATTAAAGTTTTCTTCTCTCCAGATTCCGTACTTCCAAAATACAGTTCTTCCGCAGGACTATGTGGTGACAAAAACAGGGCATTTGTAATATTCAGAATAAATGACAATCTAATTCACTTGAATACAAATATTTAGTTAATATCTTGCACTCATTTGTATAAAGAGATTTCACCAAAAAAGAAGACTACAAAACAATTGCCTAATATTATTTTGTATTATAATCTTGCTAATTTGATACATACTATTCAAAAAGTCTAGTGGTATTCCCCAAGATCAAAAGCAAACTAGGCAAGAACAGGAGAGGAAATTAGGAAGATTCTGAATTAATCCTATAATCAGCAAGATCTTACGGTGAACACATTTATTTCAACTATTGAAAAGGTAGCAGATAATAAAGCAAAGAAGATATTGCTGCTTCAGCTTTACCTAATTATAAATAGATTAAAATGGAGCATATTTTCCACACCTACAGAGAAGAGCGTAACTTAAAAAGATTAGAAATGTATTTAAGTAACAGAATAATGTATTCCTATATAACAGCTTTTCTAAGAAATAGGGAAGGAAAAAGAAACAGAAATAAATTTGTGGTGGGAACTGTAGAAAGAACTTATCAAACAGTGAAATCAGTGAGTCTCAAAGTTCAAATTTTACAATTATTGGCCAGTGCAATGCCCACAACCTAAAATAAAAATTGAAAGACTCAAACCAAGTTTGTGTAGTTTAATTACATTAGCCAAATTGTATCAAGTGCCTCAAAACAATGAGAAGAACAGTGTTTTTGCTTTACATAAAAAAGTGATTAACTTAACTAAGGTGAGTCTTCAGATAACCCTCCATTTTGATACATCTTTAAATATATTAACTTTATGTCAGGAATGTTTGCACATCAGGGGCACAGTATCTAGAGAACATTTATTTTTAAGAGCTCTCCCAAAAGGGCTTTGCCTAGCATTGGACAAGATGGTAAATTCACATGGTTGTTGGCTTCCTTTTTAGAGCCCAATCTTATGTAAGTCACAGAGAGTAAGGTTATCAATTTCAGAATTGCTCTCAATAATCAGTACAAAAACTGTGAGCAGCTCCAGGAAGACAGATGTCGGCTCCTTGTGCATGTGTAGGAGCAGCTCTGGGACTTTACTGGGGGTAGAGGAAAAGGTGGGGCAGAGCCTAAATCTGCTCTTCCTATCACATCTGCATTTATAGGAATGGGCCTCCAGTGAAAATATAGAATGTGTAACTTTCAAGCAAGTAGAATGAAAAATGAAAACAAAGAAACAAACAAAAAATAAACTCCAAAAGGAGAAAAGGAAAAAAAAAACAAAAAAACAACAAACCCCACAGAAAACAGAAAATGCATCCCCTCCACACACCCCAGTGGTGAAGATAAATCCAAATATAACAGCAATCAAAATATATGTAAATGAACTATTTTTAATTAGACAGAGAATCTCAGATTAGATTTTTTTTTAAAAGTCTGGCTATATTGTTCATGAGAGACATACCTTAAACACAGTTACACAGAAATGTTTCAAGTAAAGTGACAGAAAATGCTACATTAGATCAGAAAGTTGGTGTGGCAATACTAACATAAGGCAAAATACATTTACTGAGCTGGGCTTGGTGGCTCAGCCTGGAATCCTGCGCCTTTGGGAGGCTGAGGTGAGTGGATTGCCTGAGCCCGCGGGTTCGAGACCCGCCTGGGCAGCGAGACCTCATCTCTACAATAAATCAAAAAAATCAGCCGGGCGTGGTAGTGCATGCCTGTAATTCCGGCTACTCGGAAGGCTGAGGTGGAAGGATCGCCGGAGCCCAGCAGGTCGAGGTTGTGGTGGCTGGGAGCAGCCACTGCACTCCAGTCTGGGCGACCGAGTGAGACTCCAACTCAAAAAAAAAAAAAAATACATTTACTGAACAAAAACATCATCAGTGAGAAAGAGGACTTTACACAGTGATGAAAGAAACAACCCTGAATCTTTTGACTCAAATAATATATCAACAAAAATAGAGATGTGCTGAAATCTGGCTTTAGTCACAAACCTTTTTTTCTAGTTCACCTTTGGCTTTTGGAAGGTCAAATTGACAAACGACTATTTCAGTGTCATTTCTGGCATCCCTGAACTTGTGCAAATCTAATAGTATCAGTAAAGTGAGAAAAGTACATGTCATTTAGATTTATTGTTAACAGATGAATATTCACTTTTATTATCTGATGTTTGGTGAGAGCCCTTTAAACACACTCAACAGAATAAATAAAGGACAAAATCATGGACTTCTCAGTAAATTGGATGGAATTAGAGACAATCATTCCTAGTGATGACAGTAACGAAGAACTGAATACCACATGTTGCCTGAAAGGGTTAAGTTTAACTTTTTTCTTCTTTTGAGTCAGAGTCCCACTCTGCTGCCCAGGCTAAAGTGCAGTGGCACGCTCATGGCCAACGCAGCCTCAGCCTGCTGGGTTCAGGCGATCTTTCCACTTCAGCCTTCCAAGTAGCTGGAACTACAGGTGTGTGCCACCATGCCTAGCTAATTTTTAAATTTATTGTAGCCATGAGGTCTTGCCATGTTGCCCAGGCTAGTCTCAAACCCTTTGGGTCAGGCAATCCTCTCATCTCCACCTCCCGAAGTGCTGGGATTACAGGCATGAGCCACCATGCCCGACCAAGTTTAACTTTTACAATGAAGAAACTTTAGTTAAAAGGCTAGAAAGCAATCATAGTAGCCTGCCCTGCTTAGTCATGCTTAAAGCATCAGCTTGTTTCAGCCCTTTTTTTTTTTTATCATTAGCTCACAAAACCAGTTATTTGAGTAAGATTGATAATTGCTTGAAACTCTTTGTTTTCCAGGTATATGAAGTCAGGCTGGTCAAACAATCTATTGTGATCAACTTTCCATGACTGCCCACCAGTCCCCTGTCTGAAGCCACAAGATATGGGTTGCCCTAATAACATCAAGGGACCTGATTAATGTTGTCAAAGCCTAAGAATGCAGCTGCTGAGAACACTTTTACCTATCCCTTCTATCCCCATAAAAGCTCTAACCTTAAATACACCCTGCACCCAAACCCCTGGACCATGCTTGCCTGTGAGCATAGACTGCTTTTTGTCTGTGGAAAGTGGATAATAAACTCTTTTGCTTTCCTGTTGCAAATCTTTACATTATTTCCATGGCACTGGCCTACTTTGCTTCAGTTTGCCCTTTCATTCTCAATCATAAGTGTGACCGAAACATTAACCGCAATAACACAAGGGAGGGATAAGCAGTAGTGGGACACTGCTGGGAGGAAGAGGGGGAGGATGAGACGTAACAACATAAAGGGTACCTGGTCCTAAACCAGGGGTAGTGAGGACCAGTTGGAGGCCCAAACTTCACTTGCACATAGTACCTAATCCTGACTTGTACCCCTTACATCTTTAAAATAAAGCATGAAAAAAGAAGGTAGCTAAAAATATCCACTATGTCTGGAAACTAAGGCAATTCTTCAGATAACCCTTGATTTTGTATTTCCACGGTTTCCAAAACTGAATGGAAGTTTTCTTAATTTTGCAGCACTCTCAAGTTGATCAAGTTATGCTATAAAAGTATAGTTAATAAAATCTTCAACTATTACCTGATGTGTAATAAGGGCCCTTTAAACACACTCACTGGTTTCTTAAAAGCTTTTGTTTTTGAATCAACTTTTTCATTTTCTTCTGCTTTGGAAGTAGATTCAGTTGGGTTAATCTAAAGATTAAAAAAAGAAAAGATAAAGAAATTTTAGTTCCACACAGACAGCTGGGCAGATCATTAGGTCAAAAAGTAAATACTATTTTGAATCAATCCAAATTATAACATTTAACACAGGTTTACTATATCTATTTAGCATATATTAACATAGCCATTAACATATATTAGAGTGCCAACTATAAATAAGTTACTGTAGAAAATATAACATGGTCTTTCCCCTAACAATTTTTAAATGTGTTCAAATTATAACATTGTATTTATCCCTCTATCAAGTACCTGATTACTTATAAAGAGTGACAACTAAGTGCTCTTCTAAAAATGAGATACAGAAAGCAATAGATCAAGGTAAAGTTTTAAATTACTTACTTTTATTTTAGACCAATAAAAATATTTTAGACAAAACAATTCCTTCTAGATGCATTTTGCTAATTCTTATATAAAAGCATGGAATCAGCCTTTTATACACTAAAGCAGTGTTCCTGGTCTGCTAGTTACATTCTTCCTCTTTCTTTGTACACATAAAGAAGTGGAAAGGCAGAAGGTTACGTGAATGACCCCAAATCATACAGCCGGACAGTGGTAGAATTGAAGCTAAACCACAGCTTTTGACTCATTTTAATTTTATTTATAAAATTACCTTTTTTAGAGGAGCTGTTTGTTCTTCATTGGAAATTGTTTCTAAGGTTTCTTTGCCATCACTTTCTATGTCTTCTTTACTTGAAGTTTCATCCTCACTGGTAATAGGCCCATTTTCACACAATGGTGTCTGGAAGTCATCATCTACTAGTGGTGGATAGCTGTACTTGAAAGGATCCTGAAAGAAAAGAATTTCATATTAGCCTGCTAAGAGGTGGGTAAAGAAATAATTATATTAGTAGATTTACAATTCATTACTTTGGTCAAGAAAACAGACCTAATCAGAGAGTGAAATTTAAAATAAAGGAAGCATTTCAAACCAGAAAGGAAAAGAGCATAAGTGGTGTAGGACAATTGGCTAGCCAATTACATGGACTCAAGTTAGAACTTTAGCTCATTCTTCACCCCCCCTCAAACAAATCAGACAGATAAAAGCTTTAAATGTATGGAAATTGGAACTGGCAGCCAATTCTTATTCAGAACCCTAAATGCCCATACCTTAAGAAATAAGATACCGCGCCTTAGGAGGCTGAGGTGAGTGGATTGCCTGTGCCCGCGGGTTCAAGACCCACTTGGGCAACTTGGTGAGACCTTATCTCTACAATAAATCAAAAATTAGCCGGGTGTGGTAGCGCGCACTTGTAGTTTCAGCTACTTGGAAGGCTGAGGTGGAAGGATCGCCGGAGCCCAGCAGGTCGAGGCTGCGGTGGCCGGGAGCGGCCACTGCACTCCAGTCTGGGTAACAGAGTGAGACTCCAACTCAAAAAAAAAAAAAAAAAAAAGAAATAAGATAGACAAGTGGGACCTCATCAAACTAATAAGCTTCTGCAAAGCAAAAGAAACCATCAAGGGAGCAAGGAGACAGCCCACAGAATGGGAAAAAATATTTGCCAACTGTATATCTGACAAAGGCCTAACACCTAGGATCTACAAGGAACTCAAACGTGCCAAAATGAAAAAAACAAACAGTCCCAATAAAAAGTGGGCAAAAGACATGAATAGACACTTCTCAAAAGAAGATATATGGGCAGCCAACAGATACATGAAAAAGTGCTCAGCCTCACTCATCATAAGAGAAATGCAAATCAAAACCACAGTGAGACACCTCCTAACCCCAGTAAGAATGGCCATCATTAATAAAACAAACACCAACAGATGCTGGCGAGGATGCAAAGAAAAAGGAACACTTCTACACTGCTGGCGGGAATGGAAACTAGTGCTACTTCTCTGGAAGACAGTGCAGTGATTTCTGAAAGAACTAGAAATTGACCTTCCACATGACCCAGCAATTTCCCTACTGGGAATATACCCAGAGGAACTCAAATCATTCTACAAAAAAGATACCTGTTTGTTGCAGCTCTATTCACAATAGCAAAAACATGGAACCAACCACACTGCCCACTGAAGCTGGACTGAATTAAAAAAATGTGGTACATATACACAACTGAATATTATGCAGCCATAAAGAAGGACAAACCTATGGGCTATGAAGCAACTTGGATGGATTTAGAGTCGATCATACTCTGATCTATCACAGAAACAAATAACAGAGTACCATATGTTCTCACTCATCAGCGGACCTTAAACAATTATTATAATACTATAAGAAAGGGAGTGGTAGTAGTGGGAAACT